TCAGCGGCCAAGACCGCGACTGTCAACTCCTCGGGCGAGGGCTGAGCCAAGTGCCCGCCTCGTTCCTGTCGCAGCTCACCCACCTCACCGTCCTCAATCTCAACCACAACAAGGTGGGCTCTCTTCTTCTCCTCCTCCTTCTTCTTCTTCTTCATTCGCACGCGTGCTTGTCGTTGATGCCGATCATTTCCCAACACAACACGTCAGATCCGGGACCTGCCCGAGGAGATGTCGCAGCTCACTAAGCTCGAGGAGCTGCGCCTGTCCGAGAACCAGATCGAGGTGCTCCCTGGCTGGGTCGCAAGGATGGTCGCGCTCAAGATCATCGATCTCCGCTACAACGAGCGCCTCGTCAGTACGTCGCGACCTCCACTGTGTGTCGTGTGTCGTGTGTCGTGTGTCGTGTGTCGTGTGTCGTGTGTCGTGTCGGTGGCTAATTGCCCCCTCTTGCCTGGCGCGACAGCACTTCCCTTGGGGTTGGCGCAGCTGCCGAGGCTGGAGTGCCTCGAGCTCGGAGCCAACAAGCAGGACAAACTGAAGCGGCTGCAGGGTACGCGCGCGCACGTGCACGTCGTAGTGCATATGTAAGGAGGGCATGGGGTGGGGTGTCTTACATACGTTCACGCGCGTGTTCTTCTGTTGTTTGTTGTGAGCAGTGCTGCGGGAATCGCGCTACGCGACGGTAGCGCAGCAGACCGAGGAGGCCGAACGGGACGCCGACCACCAGGTGTTGATCCCGCAGGAGATCGTCTTCCACGGAGGCAAGGAAATCATCTCCTGGCTCCGAGAGTACCTCTCCACTCTCTCATCACACACGCGCGCGCGCACGCACACACACACACAACTCTCACTGTTGTCTGTGGGCGGTCAGGATGGCCAAGGGCGAGAAGATCGAACATCGGTTCAAGGTGATGGTCGTGGGCTCTCCCGGCGTGGGCAAGACCCTCCTCTCGGAGTGGCTGTTCCAGAAAACCAAAATGGAGAACCGAAACATCGACGCGTACTCCACCCCACAACGACGCACACACCGCACACGCACACACCGCACACCGCACACACGCACACGAATAATGATAGGACACGATACAACGCATGAATGTACCGGTAGTTATGTACCGACGCCCACGCACGGTGTGACCCGCACCTGGGCCGAGGTGCCCAACAAGCGGCACAAGTTCAATCACACGCCCATCGCGTGCTGCTACGATTGTGGTGGGGTACGCCATGTCTCTCTTTCTGGGCCTGCAAGCCTGGAGCGATTCTTAGAGGCTGTGCGTTGCGTGTCGTGTCGTTGGTCGTGTCGTGTCGTGTCGTGTCGTTGGTCGTGTCGTGTCGTGTCGTGTCGTGTCGTGTCGTGTCGTGTCGTGTCGTGTCGTGTCGTGTCGTGCACCTCTTGTGGTTCGTGTGCGTTTCCAGGACGACATCGGGCCGGAGTTCATGTTGACCGG